GTAGTGACTGGACAATAACTTACATTCTGCTTCTAAGTATAAAGATATATGTAAAGCAGTGGTCCTGAAACCAATATCACACTATCTTTCATGAAAAAGATATTCAAAATTTTTAACAGCAAGAGGTTGTTATGGATAAGGCTAGAACACAAAGCAGCAGAATCACATCTTTTTGGGGAGTCTTGGTGTTTTACCAAGCTTTTTGGCAGTCTACTATTTCAGTGTGTGCTTGCATGGTTCAAAGATCTTACTGCTCCTACTAGCATTTGAGGGAAAATAATTTTACCAAAGTGACTTACTTTTCAACCTCTTGATGTAAATAGCCTTCAGGTAGAAAAACCAACTTGTCCAGGGGTTTCCAGTAAAAGTTTTTAAATTTGGTGCACAGTCAGTCCATGTAGTTCCTCACTGAAATGCAGGTTCCAATCCAGGAGTCAGACCTTTCAAAGTGAAAGGTTGTTTCCCCTTCTTGTATTACTACTGGGGCTTCCTCCTGAAGGTATTCAGCACAGGAGCTCTTGTAAACTTTCCTATTGTAAACAGCTGCAGTATTTACTCCCAAAAAACATAACAGTACAGAATGATGTTTGAGGTCCTCTCAACATTTTGAGAAAGCCTAGCACTTGAACTTCATATTTTTACTTACTCATCTCCTTTGAAGTGCTTTACACACAGAAGCATTCCCCTGGGAAATATCTAGCAGACCACATACAGGCAATTTCCCATCTAAATGTTGTTTTATTGTTCTTTGTGGACATGCATGAAAAATGGGGGGAAAAAGGGGACTATGAGTTCAGCAATATAAGGTTGCTAAATGGCTACATGTGGCACGAGAGCACTGCTTTTTGAGTTGTTTGCTTTTGACACAAGAATGACTTCTTACACATCCCAACACAGTACTGCTTATCATTTAAGGTACTTGAGGAGACCCTAATTGCTGGTTTGAGATTATTTGGGCTTCCTGGAGGGGTTGCAGGATACTTAAATCTTTCAGTGGCCTAAGCTTGGCTGAGAATCCTCCAGGTAGGTATTGTGACTGCATTTCTGGAGAGTCTATTCCTTTTGGGCCCTAGGTCCAGAGATTCATTTTAGATGATATTTTAAGTGGGAGAGATACTTTTGAGCACTACCTTAGCAGATAAAACTTTCTCATGTGATGAATCACATTTTAGGCAGTAAAAATGCTGCTACTAAATAAATTCTGCCCATGAGAACATGTAGGAAATACAGGCATAAATATCCACTGGTAGGGCCTTCTTTGTTTGGAGAGGAAAATAATAAGATGCCAAAAAGATAGAAAAAATAATTTTAAAAAAGCCAGAAATGTCAAGGTAAGTGTACCTTCTACTAGTAGACAAGAACCTTTCACCATCTTTTATTTCGTCTGCAGGTGACTGGCATAATTAAAGAGGCTTAAATTTTTCTTCTGTCTTATGTCCCATTCCTTTGATTCACATGTCACTTTCACCAAAAGAGCTCAGGAGCGAGAAATGACATCAGCCATGATAATTTCGGCAGGCTGACCGTCGATTTTGTCACCACCTCCAACCACCTGTCCTGTTATGACATGATTCTATGATCATACTCAAAGCTAGACAGGATCTGGTGAAGGCTCTAGAAAATAAGTCTTTATGATATGGTTCCTAACTTAACTAAGCAACTTTTTATAGAGGAATGTGAAAAGGAATAGGAAATATCAGCATTCTGTCTTTTTTTTTTTTTTTGTAAGCTGAACAAATCCTGTTGATTTCATTTGACAACTAAAACTGAATTTTACAGGAAAAATTAGAGTTTGTATTTCTTGAAGGCCAAAGCAATCAAAATTATCATGTATTTTCAAACTCCTTCAGACCATAACACCTATTAATGCCTGAAACTTAGGATGCAGAGAATTTGTGCCAGTGTATAAACTGCAACTTAAGAAAAGCATTATGAGTCAGTGCAAAATTAGATATATTAAAATGGTGAAGAATTGTCCTTTAGATAATCTTTGTAATTTCTAAAGATACCTCTCTGAATACTAGTTATAATGCATTCATCTGGTCATGACTTTGATAATACACCTAAGTAGACATATTTCCATTAAAAGCAGGAATTAATTTTCTTTTTTTTAAGGTAGAGTTAGTTAGATGAAAGTATCACCTCAGATTAGAAAAGAAGACAATGAGTAGATATGAACAATCTGAGCTCCAGAACAATTTTCTTTCTTGGGAAGAAAAAAGTCTTTTAACAAAAATCTCAATATCAAGGAAGACAGATAAATTAGTTTTATAAATTTTGTTAACTCACAAAAATAGGGAAAATTGTCAAGTCTTACCCTGTGAAGAGGCAAGAATTCATAAGTGCTAGATTCAGTTTTTGTCTGGCTACTATTATGGAGCTCTAAAGAGAGATGTATTACTTGTAGCTGTGAAGATCCTTGAATCATGAAGATAAACTGAAGAAAGATACCTATGAAAAACATCTGCACACTACATTTTGCATAATTGGAATATCTGAATGGAAGTGAAACTCAGGCATTGATCTTTTTAACCATGTTACGCATGATTTAATAAAAAAATAAAAATTTCAAATTATATCTGTTGATCTGTAAATTCAAACATATGAATCAACTGACACTGCCTGCTGAGGAATGAAAAGCAGTCCTTGGAATTCACTCTATGCTTGTTAAACTACAATGATAGTTAAATCTGTGCTCACAGGGTTTTCAAGTATTTTATAACTAGTACCAGTCAAAAAAGATCAACACAAAGCAAACCGTCCCAAAGAACAGTCCTGAAGAAAGGAATCTTCTCATTAACAACTGGACTAATTATTCAGAAAAAAAATATCACACTTACTTTTTATATGTTCTTATGATTTAAGTACTACACTTTTTAAGATTAAAAATAAAATCCTCCAAAGAGAAATGCTATCAAAAGTTTGGAAAGCTGGTGCATATATCAAATATTTTAATGGAGGAGCTATATTTCCTTGAAGAAAAAAAAATGGGAAAGGAGATGCATCATTAATAAGTATAAGATACACTGCAGCAGTAGTGAGAGAATGCATGAGATATGCTTGAAATCCCTGTACCCTTTAGGGTTTACCACAAACAGCTTCTGGTAAACACTGGCCAAAGCCACTGCAGTTAAGAAGCTCACTGGACATAGGCTATGCTATCTTCTTTGCTGCTGCACTCTTAATCTTCTTACTTAACAGTGCATCATGGTATTCAATTTACTGAAGTGCTTTTAGCATGTTCAAAGTGTGGTAAAAATACCTCAAGAGCCATAGAAAATAGAAGAAAAATGAAACATTGAAGCAGATTAATCATTTTACCAGGGTAGGAGATGAACTTTTACCTCCACTGGTATCAGAATACTAGTTTTGTTGTGGTCTGCTTATTATTTACAAAATCAGATCATATGAAGGAGTTTCAAACATTTATTTAACTAGTCACAAATTAAAATAATGTAACATTCATTTACTGTGGATGCCAATAGTTATTAACATATTCCAAAATGAACTTTGCTTTTAATGTCTGATACTTTCCTTTTTCATGCCTATTAATTATAACTTGAAACCAGCATAAACAATACATTAAAAAAAATAAAATATTTAAAACATGTTGCTTGACATTTTTTAAAAGATGAATGTGCATAATTTTGTAGAAATTCTTAAATAAGATACATATTTTCCTTTAATATATGCTATATATTTTCATCATATTATGTTTTATAGTTTAAGGATTGGAAACCATGCATGGGGAGGTTCCCTGATGGGGTTTGAGCTGTCTCTCACAGTTCCCAGTTATAAAACTGAAGTCTGGCCAACTATTATAAAGTCTGCTTCATAAGTGTCAATGGAGAGAAAAGGCTTGTAAACTAATGAAAATTGTTGTTTCATTCTTACAGTTATTACTACAGTAGAATAAGGATTGGAAACCATTCTTGCAAGCAAGTAGAAGCCCCAAGGTGGCACATTTTCAATAGTTCAATGTAATTGTAAAATATGTAATAAAAGGAATAACTCAAAGGAGTAGGCTTCTGTATTTCTTGATGTTTTGATGATCAGCATAAACTGATTGTAAGCTGTTAGTTCAAATTCAGAGCTCAAAGTGAAGGTATAGACTTGTAATAAATAATGTGAAATTAAGGACAAAAGAAGACAATTAAGTTGTAAAGATCATTGTTAACAGGAACTTAACATGGTACTTGAGGTACTTGAAATTGAATTTTACCTATAAACTAAACCATGATTGACACTTACATAAGATGACCCAAAGGCTATAGAATCTCAAAATCATGTCCCAGTTATAAACTCAATAAAAATTTGTTCTACTAATTCATAAGATATTCACCTAACACTTATTCTCATCAAAACTGTAGCTATGACCTTGCATAAAGTTGTATGGCCTTTAAGCAAAATTTTTTCCATGTTTTAATAGGAAGAATGAAATAAAACAAGGTATAAAGTTGCTAAAACAAACTCCAACAGAAGACTTTTTATTGTCATTCACTCAAAAAAAAATACTAAAAAGAAGTTCAGGACTGCAAAAGAAATTAAACCTTTTGAGATCTCAGGTATTGTACTGTTGATTATTTATGAATTAATCATTTTCATTTCCTGGTTAAACTGCAGATATCCTAAGGACTTAAAATATAATTTTTACATATAAAATAAATGCTTAATATCCAATACATAAAAGATTAGACACTGGTTTACTCTAAACAGAAAGTGGTTCTCCTCTGAATTTTTTCATGAAAAGTTAAGCTGTATATAGTGTAACTGTCAAGACTAGAAATAACTTAGTCTACAACATAAGAAGGAAAGTATTAATGATGACCAAAAAAAATGTCACTGAAACAGACGGTGCAAGGAATTTCTTTGAGGCACTAATCAGACCTAAATCTGATTAGATGACTAATTGGCTTGATTACTGATGGTAAAAAAACGTGTGCTATAAACCTGTTCATGGTAAAAGAGTTATTAAAGGCTACAGGGGAGAAACTTTGAAGAGGCAAGATGTTTAGAAAACTAAGATCAGTTTTTTCTAGACCAAAATTAGCGCCTGCAGTAACAGATGGCAAGAATGAAGATGCCCCTCCACCATCTAAGGCATCAGCAGGCCAGGTATAGTTTTTGTTGTCTATTATAGACCCCATTACTTCTGCCTTTTGTTTAGAAAGTATTTATGTAAATAAATGCCAAAAGAATGTAAAATATACTGCCTTTATTCTTCTCCTCCCTCCCATCTTTTCTTTATGAAGAAAATACAGATTTTCTCTGTTTGCAAGTTGCTTTACTAACAGGGCTAACCTGAAATAGCACAAGTTTATGAGAGGTCTTGATCAACATTGCAAATGGAGAATTAGAAATACTGATATTGCTGCTTTTTATATGCTGATGTACTCCTCTGCATCCTATTTCCTTCTGGCAGGAAATGTCAGTATGTCCTTTCTGAATATTGCAATGACATAAAGGTATATATCAGCCTGCTACCTGATAACTGTTGGAAATGCAAAGTAATTTAGTAGCTTTTTAAAGCAGTATTTTTTTTCAGCTTGGTTTTATTAATGCAACTCCTCTTTGAAAAATACAGGGTCATATTAGTCTACACTCTATATTTTTATTTAGTGTTACTACTATGAAAGTTAATTCATTCTTTTCAATTTAATTAATTGAATAATTTAAACTTAAGCAAAAGGATAGATACTCTTTCTCTTGTTGCCTTTGAATTTTTATTTTTTCTCAATAATGTCCTAGAGAGTGTTCTGGTTTTTTCCAGCCTGACATAATCAAAATTTTACAAGGTAAAATGGTAACAATTTAGGGTTTCACCCAACAATTAGGAGAGTGAAACAGATTCTTTAGTATCAGCCTGAGCTATTAATCTGAATTCGTGCTTATTGAAACAATTGAAACTCCTTCATTATAAATTTAATTTCAATTAAGCAGTTTCTTTTAACACATTCTCAACAGCTGAGCATATACAAAGACTCAGACATAAAGTCCAGGAGCCTTGATTTATGTGTACAAGAGTTCCATAAATTTTACAGTTTTAAGTAAAACTGATTGAAACATAAACATTTGTAAGACTGAATCACTTCCTAGAACTGATGTTTTCTGACTTTCTTAGGTTTGTACAACCTCAAGAAGAGTTGCAGTTTAATCCAACCCAACTACAACTCAGATTTGATTTATCATTGTTATAAATAAGATGAACAGGCACATCTGCACTGCCATCCACACAAAATGGCAAAAATGCCTGTGTTCAATAACCTTCATATGCTGCAGATCTACAGGTATTGTTCATGCTTCTTTTTACAGTTTTTTCTTATGTCAATAAAATGCTCTCTTGAAAGAAGAAAAATCCTGAATCTCATCAGGTGACTCCTGTGCAGGCTAATATCTCACTTGGCAAAGTGCTCTAGGAAAAGATCTCACTGGAGACATGAGAGACATTATTCTCTTCTGGTGAGAATAATTTCATACATCAGCACAACATTCAGATCGTATCACATCAGCCTACACTATTCAAAATACTGTTAAGAAGGAGGCAGATGAGTGGATCAAGGATCAAGATATTTTCTGCCTGCAAGGCAATACCATCTAAAGAGAAAGGAAGAAATGTACGTAATACCTGACAACTGATTAATGTACTAATTAATGCACTGATTAATTTACTTATGCTATTAGGAGGGAGCCCTGAAACAAAGAAAAGAACATATACAGTAAAACATCATACAAGTAACTCTAGTATGCACAGAGATTTATTAGGATTTTAATTTTAATTTTTTGTATATTGATTCTATAGATACATATTAGAACTTCAGTTCCTGATTCTCTGAATAAAAACAGACAGGAAAACACAAATATTTTCATAGAAAAAGACAAACCCCAATTTAAACCCAGAAACACAAAGAGAAGCTCACTGAGTTAAGGAAGGGGGAAAAAAAGCGCATGAAGACCTGAAAGCTCCTAAAGTCAAACAACTTTTCCATATGTTGATATTATCTTTCTCTATTAATCAGCACAATACCAGGAAAATTTATTCTATCTGGGATAACAAATGTTCATGGCCTAGATCAACACCGTGCTGTCACATAGTACTATGAACACCTAAGACTTCCCATGCATTTCTCACTCCTTCCTCCAAAGACCACTCTGTCAAAGCCAAGATAAACCAAGGTACAGGTACAAAAGCGATTTGATTCATGGATCTAAGTCAGTAAAGTGGAAGGAAGTAATTTTTTTGCAGTGAAAGTTAATACCCTCTCAGTATTTTGTTAAAATTGGGATCTGTCAACTGTGGTAAGTTACACCAAAACATACCAGGTGTATTTGCCCAACTGAAGGTTTAGGCAGAAGTGTGACTAACTCAGAGAGGCAAGTCAGCTCCACGAACAGGCAGCAGCAGAACTCCAGGCTAAGCAACTGGGTTTGCACAGAGGAGGTGAAGATAGCGGTTTCTGATTTCAGTATCCTTTTGTGAATCCATGTGGAAACAGACAGAACACCCAGGAACAACGGTCAGTGTGTGTCAACTTGGTTAATCAAACTCCTACAAAAATGTTGCGGTCATCAAAGCACCCTTATCGTTCTCGATAACAAGCATCTCAGAGTTTCTAATCCTGTTTATTTTTTTAAGGATGAAAATACAACAACAAATGAACCACAGAAAGCAGAGGCCAATAATAAAGCAGAACCAGTATCAAAGCAACAAGGTCAGTAATAAGCTATTTATGAGTATTCAAAGATTTTCTGGACAAAATATATGTATACTACATAGCATTCTAAATAAAACTGTTGTTCTTCCAAATGCTCTGGCAGGAGCTCTTGTTTTTTATTTGTGGAAGAAATTAAGATCTGTGAATTGTCACTGACCCCATAGCAATGATTTGTTACAAAAATAGGAGCCGTATCCAGCCATAACAAAAGGCAAAAAGCTTTCAAGCACACAGTCCCTTAATGAGTTTGCCCACTTTAATCAGCAAGTCTAAGAAAATCTGTTTCCTCTTATTGAAGTTGACTTCTTAGAAATCTTACTTTAATAGTAAAGGTATTTATAAAATAAGTATTTAGTAGTTTATGAAAGAAAATTTTATATTTTTAAGGTATCTTTTTGGTATACATCTTTAAATAAAAGAAGTTAAAAACACACAAAGATGAGACAGACTTTAAACTATCTGATTTTCAAATGTTTCACAGAGCAGCTATTTAAAATCTTTTTTAAAAAAAAAGTCAATCAATTAAAAAAAAGTCATTAAAAATATTTGCCATCACCATTCAGAAGACATTCAGGACTAAAACACAGGAACATAGAGCTCAGGGCAGTGAAACAAGGTAATCATTTGCCTAAGCAGCTTTTCATATGGCTATTCTGCTCCCCTTTCCCACCATCTCCAATAGCCAAGCCTATATTCCTTATATCAGAACCAAAATGACTGCTACAGCAGCTACCAAAACAAAGGCTCAGGATAGGTGAAGCAACAACTATTACTGGGCCTGTCTTCCCTCCCTCACATCACTAGTGCTGCAGCCCTTTCCTTTTGCATCCTCCTGTACTGGAGAAAAACACAAAGTCCAGTTTTCCTGTCACCTCATGCTTTTCTTTGGGAGAGTAGTTCATGTTCATTTCACTGAAGCAGCAAAGCAAAGACTGAGGAACCTCCAGCTTTCTGTGGTAAAGATGAATTAAGGAGACAGGAGAGATTGGAAAAAGACTACAAGGAAATTTCATAATCCTTACTTGTGCTTTGTGTAATCATAACAAGTACTTTCCTCATATAATAAAACTTTAAACAAACTCCATTTAATTCAATTATCTTGTTATATAATGTCTGTAGCATGAAATCAAGGGAAGACAAAGTCTGATATGAATTAACTATAGTAACAATGGGAAAAAAGGAGCCCCTGGTGGTCTAGTGGTAAGGGCGCGGCGCTATCACCACGGAGACCCGGGTTCGATTCCCGGTCAGGGCCACTCCCGGGCAGGTGGGGCTCGTTAGCCCTTAAAGGCAACCCACCTACGTCCTAAGGACCTCGCTGCCACCGTCCAAGCTCGCTTGGCCCCGGCAGATGAACCTTAGGATTAAAGGGTGGGCTCAGTTCCGCGCACACTGTGTCTCACCTAAAAAATCCAATGCGCAGGCTGGAAGGTGGAAAGACCTTCCCCGGATCTTCGCTCGCGAAGACTGGCCACTAATGGGAAAAAATAAAATTTGATGTTTTGTGACTTTTTAGCAGCATTAAATCACAGATGCTATCCCATGACAGAATAAAGTATTCATCCAAAACCTAATCTAATTTTACAGATTAATATAACTCATTAATCTATATTTTGGGATACTAAACTACTGTCCTTTGCAGGGCCAAGAGTTTGACTCAATGATTCTTGTGGATCCCTTCCAACCTAGCATACTCTGTGATTTTTTTTTTCCTTCTAAATTATAAAATAAGTGGTGGCATAGTAGCAACTGCATCATTAATTAATTTAGGAAAGTATAATAACACAGTTAGGCTCCATGGTTTTTTGGGGTATTTTTAAATCCATAGTTGTCTAGGAAGTACTTCAAGTCTCATTTTCAAACAGCCATGTGGGTACTAATGAGTAAGATACTTAGTGACTGTACAAGCCAGAGAATTTACACAGGCACCACATCTGAGGAAAAGCTTACGAATTCTTGTACATAAGAAGTCCTTATCATCTGAGCCAAAAAAGGAACTCCCTTATGTCTGGGCAGAAAATGGAGGCTGAACTCAAACAAGTCACAGGAGGGTCTAGATAAAAGTCCTTCAAAATGTTGTGGACTTTGTATCAGACCTAAAATCATGAGAATAGCTGCTAGAAGAAGAAAATAAGAATACCTGTGGGTAAGCAAGGGACTTGAGAAAGTATTTTGTGGTGTATGTACAAATTTGGAGAGAATTGTTAAAAGCACAGCTGGGACTCAAACAACATTAGTTAAGGGAGATCAGCTAAATGGAGAAAAGCCTTTCCACAATCTCTCATTAGCTTCTCTGGTATAATCAGAATGAAATAGACCAGTAAAGCCTTTAATCATAGTATCAGTTTGCAGCTCCATACAAATCAACACCCCCTTCTTTTCACATGGCCAAAACCAGCCATCACCTTCTCTCTTTCTCCTCACACTTCACAAAGCAGCACAATGTTCCCAGCACAGATGAGGATTCAGCAGGAGGCACCATTGTAGCCTGTTTGATAAAAGCTTGGCCGCTTACCTCACTTTACAACACCTGGTACTTTTGGCTTCTTTGTTGGCTACTCATTGCCTCATCTCCACCTCCTCAGTTGCCCTCTCCCAGCTTGCTTTGTGATTAATCCTCTGCATAATGAGTTCATTCTTAATTAATTCTCTGTGCTTAGTCAGTTTGTTCCATAATGGTTTAATTTTTTTTAATTTATTCCCTGCATTTTTTGTGTGTATTTAACAAAGTGTGATTCACCTAATTACAGGTTCTCCATGATATTGGATCCAATTGCTATAATTTCTTTGCATATTTATCACCTCCCATAACTGACTGGCTATACAAATGCCTCCCTTGTTTTACCCACTGCTGTTCAATAGCTCTGTTGGTGGTTATACTATTTAGAAGGACACATCCACCCTCCACCTGCTAACTGGTGACTGCATTATCATTCTCTGTCTCACAATTTCTTTCATCCTCCTAACTGATAATTCCAGTACAATTCTTTCCAACTCATCCCTTTTCTTTCCCTTTCTCCAAACATTCTCAGCACCACATTTAAGCCCTTCTGTTCTGAAGTCTATTCTATTCCCTTCTAACTTTTCCCTTACTAGGAAAGTATATAGAAAGTATATAGAAAGTATATAGAAAAGTATATAGAAAAGAATACTTTTCCAGTATTCTGGGATTTGGTCTTCCTACTTCTGACTAAATCAACAAGTGTCTCAAAGATTTCTTTCCAGAATCACAGTCACATTTATTCAGTTTTTACTAAAGTCCATGTTGACATCACTCTGTTCTTGGTAGGACTTGAGTGAGAAAGCTAAACCAAAACTACCACAGGCATTTCTATATGTCATAAAGTAGACAGAACATCTCATTACCATGTTAATGTTCAGGGATATTTAGTATTTTCAGAACCTACATGCTTTGGAAAGCATCTCAAGTGAGCAGTGAGGTGCCTTGAAAGGAAGGGCTGCTCAAAAGGAACTTCAGTCCGCTCCAAACTCTCTCCCACTTCTGTTTAGGTACTCAAGGACAATTCACTAAATGTTTAACTGACAACAACAAAACACAAAACACACAAGCTGCTGATAGCTGCCCCTTTCATATATTAGTCTACTTGCTATACCTTGCCTACTTTGTAATAAGAGAGTTCAAACCTGTGTCTCTCACATTTCTATAGAGTTTCCTAATTACCTGCCCAAAACCTAGACTAGAGAGATGTGGGAGGAAACTCTGTGTCCTTCCTAATCTCTGGGTCATTGTGCAAAAAAGAATGCAAAACCCAATGAAATGTAAGAAAATAGAATATAAAGTGGAGCATGGAACCAACGTAGAAGTTAATTACAATAGTAACCTCATAGGAGGAATGAAGAATTTTGATTTCAGTTTGATTTCAACAAAGTTGTGGAATCATTAAGAAAAAGGAAAAAATAATTCTCCCACCAAATATTTAACCCTATTACAAATAAATAAGGCTCAGAACTCAGATCTCCTCTTCTCAGAGGAAAGATTTGATCATTAGCTGTTATATAAAATATGGTCACTCTCTTTTCCTGTAGATAGAAATAAAGCACATATATTTATTGAGGGTACTAAAATCCTGTTGCTGTAAAACCCTGGCTAATTCTGTCTAATAAGGTACTAACTAAATCTACATGGACTACAACTGAGTTATAAACCTCTGAGAAGGGTGATTTGAGTTAAATGTGAAATTTTGCAGCTAAAATCTCCCTTTGGCCTCTTATGAATCTGACTCATAAGCTTCTCTTAAGCTGCTTTTTAAACCTGTCCCCTAGCACCTCAAAATCCAGGGTTAAATAAGTAGTTTGTATTTCAAAAAATAAAAATTAAGTATATGATATAATATGAGGCAGTCCAGTGATCTCAACCTGTCAGTCCAAAGAGACTTTGAAATAATCTTATTCCTTGTTGTCTTATCCTTTATAGTCTTCATTGGCACTAAGAAAACAAGCAGCTATTATTCCCATAAAATATTTTTTTTAAAGATTGCCAAGAACTTAAATATGTTTAATCAGCTTGCTTTCACTCCTGCTGATATGAAGTCTTTTAATTCCTCTCAGATCTTCATTCTTCACATGAGTGAAAGGTCTAAATTCTAGGAAAACAAACTCAGCGTCTTCATGCAATCTTTATTTCTTTACATAGAAAATAAGGTTATATAATACCTCTGATAGTCACTGAACTTGAGTGTTAAGGTGGACCTACTTACTGACTGTTTCACTTCACCCCTGCTGATTTCTGAACTTTTTTCCCTGCACATAGCATTTGTTCAAAAGATTTTGCTTTTAAAGTCACAAAGCTGTGTATTTTGTAATGTCAGAGCTGAAGTCTCTTCTCTCCTTTGTCCATAGGTTTCCTATGTGTTTATTTTTTCTTGATGGCCCTATAGCCATTATTCAGATATTTGTGGATAGCACAAGAACACCTCTGGGAGGCAAGAACAATCAAGAAATTATTAACTATGTCAAAAGTATCACAGGGAGTTTGT